AAGGTTGAAAGGAACGAAGACACGGTGACAGGGGAGGAGCATCCCTCCTCTTTCTCTCTGTCTCCCATTTCAAGACTAACCAAACGATGCTTCAAGTCTTGAATTTCTCCTGGCTCTTAAATCTCCTTCATCACATAGAAGATATGATTATGGTAATAGTTGAGTGAATTTCAGTGATTCCGTCGTGTGTGTGTGTGTGTGTGTGTGTGTGTGTGTGTGCGCGTGTGTGTGTGTGTATGATGGTGTGTGTGTGCATGATGTGTGTGTGTATGATGGTGTGTGTGTGTGTGTGTGTGTGTGTGTATGATGGTGTGTGTGTGTGTGATGGTGTGTGTGTATGATGGTGTGTGTGTGTGTATGATGGTGTGTGTGTGTGTGTGTGTGCATGTGTGTGTGTGTGTGTGTGTGTGTGAGCGCTTGCAGGCACTCACCCATGGATGAGCATGAAGTCAGAGGATGTTGGGTGTCTTCCTCTATCACTTTCCACATCTTTTGAGACAGGAGCTCTCGCTTAGTGTTTCTGTTATCCTGGGATCATCCTTCGCCTGCCCTTCAGGGCTGGGATTACAGGCAGCTGGTTGTGCCTGGCCTCATGGGCGCTTAGGATTTGAATATGGGTCATGGTATCCTTATCTACTGGACCATCTTTTTATACTCCTTGATCACCTTTTTATTATTTTATTTTTATTGCTCATATGTTCTGGAGCGTAGTGTTGAGTTTAATCATCTTTTTTTTTAATAATGAAAAGAATCACCAACAATGATTTCATGAAAAAGAAGCAAAATTTTGTAGTAATATGTGTGTCGTATATTTTGAAATAAACCGTCAGAATGAAAATTACAGAGGTAAATTGTTTTCCAGTTAATTGTAGGTTTAGTTTGCAGGGAAGCATGTTTTCTATATACTTTGCCCCTCTCCATCCAACATACAGGACATGGACACACACACACACACACACCATTCTTCATGAAGGAGTGAGGTCAGTTTCTTAGTCACTCATCTGTCACTGCCCCGTTCACCACTGTTCTCGCTCATCCATCAGAGATGGCACACCTGCACCTGTGTGCTTCAGACACAGTCTAGCAGGAAAAGAATGATAAAGTATAGTAAGCAGATCTCCATGAGTTCAAGACCAGCCTGGTTTACAGAGTCAGTTCCAGGGCAGCCAGAGCCCTACCTCAGGCCAAAAAAAAAAAAAAGAGAGCCCAGTGGAGGGGACAGTTAGTAGTTAGTTCTGCATGGAAGTGTGAGGGGAATGGTTAGTAGTTAGTTAGTTCTACATGGAAGTGTGGGGGATGGTTAGTAGTTAGTTCTGCATGGAAGTGTGGGGGATGGTTAGTAGTTAGTTCTGCATGGAAGTGTGGGGGATGGTTAGTAGTTAGTTCTGCATGGAAGTGTGGGGGATGGTTAGTAGTTAGTTAGTTCTACATGGAAGTGTGGGGGATGGTTAGTAGTTAGTTAGTTCTACATGGAAGTGTGGGGGATGGTTAGTAGTTAGTTAGTTCTACATGGAGTGTGGGGGATGGTTAGTAGTTAGTTAGTTCTACATGGAAGTGTGGGGGATGGTTAGTAGTTAGTTAGTTCTACATGGAAGTGTGGGGGATGGTTAGTAGTTAGTTAGTTCTACATGGAAGTGTGGGGGATGGTTAGTAGTTAGTTAGTTCTACATGGAAGTGTGGGGGATGGTTAGTAGTTAGTTAGTTCTACATGGAAGCATGGGCACCGGAAACTCAAGGATGATTGCAAATTTAGCCCGCAAGCTGGGTGAGATGGGAAAGACGGTGCTTGGCCAGGGCTAAGTGAAGCCTGCGTGCTGCCTCGGGGTCACGGGAGAAGGAGAGTGCAAGCCTGTGGAGCAGAGCTGTGCTCCCATCTGGGCTCTCAGCCTCCTCTCGCAGCCTGCCCTCTCCCCCTCAGTCCCCCGTCTGTCCCCCACCCTGCCGTCTGTCCCCCACCCTGCCGTCAGCCTCTCTACCCTGGAGAAGTCCCAAGCCATTGCCGTGGTGACTCTTCCACTCTGCACTGCTGACTCTGTAGGTGTCTGTTGCAAGGTGCAGGTGTGATGTCCCTGGGCACTTGGAAACGCCGGGTCAGCAAAAGCTGGAAGACAGCTGTGTCAAGCAACTTCAAACACCATAGCTCTTGGTATCCATTTAGTTGCTATTCATTTATGTTATAAAGACAAGGTCTCATGTAGCCCATGGTGGCCTCCGGTTCACCAAGAAGCCAAGGGTGAGCTTGAACTCTCTCTGCTCCCATCACCCCTCCGAAGTGCTGGAGGTAAAAGCTGGTGCCACCACCAGATCGTGGTTTTGTTGTTACACTTACGCAGCATTCCACCTAGGCTGGAAGTTATGTGATCTAAATGGCTGGCTGTACTGCATGCAGCATTAATAGTTCTGGCCTTTGGCCTCCAGTCCTGCAGTAGTAGACCACATATTTGGATATTTATTTATGATCAGCCTTTTCCGTAAGAGAGTCAGGGTCACGTTAGTTAGGGCTGTGATCTCAAACATCAGGACTACTACAGCACAGCAAAGAATAAAAGCATGGAGACTAGCCTACTGTCCCGAAGCCCACCAGAGGATGCAGAGGAACTATTCATAATGTGTGAACAAGTACAGTTTCATCTGCCGTTGCAGATCTCTATCAACATGCACACAGGGAGTTGGGGATATTTTTCTTGCATTAAGCCTGGAAACCTAAAACTTGCATTTCCTATAGTCAGAGTTGAATACAGATACATCAGGATGCTTCTCGGTTTAAAAAAAAAAAAATGATCTTAGAAAAGCAGGTAAATTTTAATTAAAATATCTCTGTTTTACTTAAACGTTACAGCTGCTTTCTATAATCTAAGTTTCAAAACTACAGCATGGATGGGGTTGCCTGGTGCTGCTCTTCATCCTGGGTGGGGCTGCCTGGTCAGTTTCTCTTCTGTGTTTGCTTTACCCATCCATGTTCTCTTTGAAACAAGGTAGCTGTTGACACCCAAAACCATGCCAAGCTGTCTTGCTGGGGAGGCTTCGAAGTCAACACTGTAGTATCCCCCTTTGGGTTTATTGCGGGAGGTTCATAGACTCTTTGTTAGTTAACTCCATCTGTTTAATATGCCTGGAAAAGAAACTGGATGGTGATGTATGTATGCATGTATGGATGGATGGGCGAGACTGTGGTAGTGAGCCAGCAGCTCCAGCTCCAATTGGGCTTTCAGTTTCCTGTGGGTACCAGTTGCTGTGCAGGGAAGGCACATTGCTTCACAATCTGTTACGGATTGGGCATTTGGTGGTGTGCAGTTTTGTGGTATGAGAGAGACAGAGAGAGATATTAAATTCCCTCCCTATGCTGGAAAAGGGTAAGAACTCTTGAAATGTTCTATATCAGAGTAAGGAATCACTCCCTTGAAAACAGAAAACTCTTAGTTGTAACCTTTAAGTCAGAGCAACGGGCCTGACCTCCGTGGAAGTGCTCTGGAGGGAGCCAGAGTTTCACGGAAATGTTACCTTTAGTCTGATGTCCTTGTGGCCCTGAATTACCCTTCTTTGGCTATCAGGAGCCAAGTTAAAGTTCCTGGGCAGAGAATGGCAGTGTGGCACAGCTTGGTGGTGTCAATCCCTCGTGGGTTAGCCATTGGAGAGGCCATAGACTGTGGCACCTTCGTGGTTTGGGCAGGACACCGTGTCTCGGGTTGTAGAGATGGATCTTGATGATGGCTCTCCTGCTTATGTGCACCGAGTTCCTGATTTCAGTGCCCACCTGCAGAGCGTATGAGTTTTTAATTTTTTTTCTCTGTGGTCCCTTCCCCTCCCCCACCCCACTTTGAGTCTTCTTTGAGTAATGAAACAGTGATGCTTCTGTTAATTGTGAACCTTTTCAGGCGGCACAAAAATTCTGTTTTGTGTACATGGGAGTGCATGCTTTTGGTGGGAATATTAATTTACTATGGGGTGTTTTAAACCATGGGCCAGGAAGAAAGATGGTAAGAATCACATAGCAAAGCCTAAGAGCCACAAGTAACATAGAAAAAAGAAGCTTCTGTTCCTTTCCACCTCAGGTTCATCAACTCAGACTTCACAAGTTTGATCTTTCAACCATCTTTATTGTTCTTTTAAGACAGTTTACTAAAACAGAACTTTTATTCATACAGTTAAAGGCAGGTAACAAGCTATGCCCCATAGTACCGGCAGGCCATAGGCAGTTACACACAAGCTGGAGGGCTCCTGTGTTACCCCTCAAACTTCAAAGGGGAATGTGAAGTGGGCATGGGCATCATCAGGCTTGTCAGGGTGCTGGCGCCAGGTCCGGAGGGCATCTGGGGCTAGCATGCTGTGGTCTGGTTGGTAGAAGCTGAGTTAAGAGACCTACAGAAGGAAACAGGCCATTGCAAAGAGCTGCCTTGGAGCAGGGTTTGTGCTCATACCTGCAGTCTCAGTGTGGGCTGAGCAGGAGGATCTCGAGTTGAGTGCCAGCTTAGACAACAGAGTGAGACTTTGTCTTGAGAAGGAAAAGAAAAGACTGCCTGCTTTGACAAAGACAGGGGAATTGAGGCAAATTGAGCTGAGACCTGAAGAGAGATTTGTTTCGGTTTTTCTCTTCATTTGAATGAGAGTCTCATTATAGCCAGACTTGCCATTGGCCTGACCACTGGATTCAGCCTCCTGATGCATCATACTGAGCTGAAATACTCATCCCCCTAAGCATGGATGACTTAAAGAAACCCCAAGAAAGATGTGTGTGTACTCTTTTGTATGGTGGTACACGCACCATTTCTGTTCTTTGACCTTCCTGTCCCTAGACATTGAGATCTTGCAATGTTTTCCTTTGGTGGCAGATGTTGCAGTTACAGGCAGGTATCTGTAGAAACTGTAGCAACTGTAGAATAAGGAGAATTTGTGGGCAGTTTGCCCTCCACAAATGGGAACTGTGTGGTGGGGCTTTGTAGTGGTGTCATACAGAAAGTGCTTGCTCTGTGTTAATATGTCTCTTTCTTTTTTCCCTACAGTGTTTGGAAAGAACAGGATGCTGATCTAGACGTGGAAAAAGTAAGTTGACAAATTCTGTTCGAAGGCAAGTGCCTTGGGAATTAGAAAGCATTTCTCAGTGGAAACTATAATTGTAATTGAATCCATAGGGGTTGTTTTATATGTATTTATGTATTTATTTTGGGACATGGTCTCAGCCCATGGTGGCCTCAAACTCACTATGTACCTGAGGGTGACCTTGAACCTTGAACTCAAGATTCTCCCACCTTTACCTCCAAGTGCTGGGACTACACACGTGCTCCACTAAGCTCCTTAGGTTTTTGAGATAGAAATTGACTTGGAGATAAAGTTGGCGTACAAAATATAAAGAAAACTCATTAGTTCACTTTAAGTTGGACAATGATAAAAACAGATTTTTTTTTTTTTTTTAGCTCCAAATAGACCTGCTCTCCTTAAGCACAGTGGGACAGCTGTGGCCCAGCTTTTCCAGGGTGGACAGTGCTCTGATTTTAGTCTAGTAAGGGCCCTCCCTGTTAGGTTGTTTCTTGTCGCCTTTTCCTCTACGTGCAAAAAGCTAAAGCTTCCGATGGCCTGGCTGTACCTTTGAGTTATGGCCACTGGTCATTCTTTCCTTCAGTTAACTTTTGTATGTGTGCCAGCTGGGTGTTAGACACTATGGCGAACTTAGTTGAGGCAAAAAAGGAATGCAACAGGGACTTAATTACATCACCCTGTGATGGCGCTGCATTGGAACAATTCCGAAAGCCCAGAAAGGGCGAGCTATCCAGAAAGCAGTTGGGGGGCTGTGTGAGCAACCACTCCTGTCTTTCTACGAGTGTGGCTGGGTCCTTTCTGAACTCCCTCCTCGCTTGAATGGGTAGAAGTCATATTCACTACCCTTGGGGAGCCCATCTCTGCCCAGCCGCATTGCCTGGAGTGTAATTTCCACCAGATCTCCATTCATTCCTCATTTCCTTGGCCCCTTGGGCTGCTACTTCATCATCAGAAGTGATCTAGAATCAGCTCACATTTTGAATATCAGTGTAGGGGAAGTTCTTCTCTCCATCCTAGAGCCCCTTTGAATTTGGGTGCCATGTTTGTGATTTACGTTAAAGAAATCATCTGCAACATTGATCTAGAGTAGTGGTTCTCAACCTGTCCGTCTCCACCCCTTTGGGTTGCATATCTATCTACATTACGATTCATAACAGTAGCAAAGTTACAGTTATGAAGTAGCAATGGAGTAACTTTATGATGGGGTCACCACACCATGAATAGGGTCACAGCACAGGAAGTTTGAGAACAACTGATCTAGAGCAATCCTTGAAACACTGGTCCAGAGCAATCCTATCTTATGAAGGGCTCTGGCCACTGCAGAATTTACTTGTGTAATCTACTTCATTCGTGAACTTTTCAGCTCATACACACACAAGGGTCTTGGGGGAAATACAGCGCTCTAGTTGAGACAGGACAGGGGAAGCCTTTGAACATCTCTGTACACTTGGGTTTGAGGCCAGGAGGTGAAAAGACTCTTCCTTGTGGAAGGTCAGTACACAGTGACCTTCATCAGTCAGGCCAGGCCCCCAGCAGCCTGGGACTTCGGGCTTGCCCAGGAGACCTGTGGTATCGCCCAGGCTCTGAGCTTTCTTTCCCTGCTCTCTCAGCTGAGGCAGAGTGGGTCAGGAGGGACTTGGACCTTGTGGGTAGTAACTGCAGGAGAGTTACCCTAAGTCCCTTATCCCAGGCAGACAATAGGGCTTAGTAAGTGAGGTCAAGCGAAGGGTGAAGAATTTGACCCTTATTTCAGTTCTTTTCACTTTCTGTAAGACCTTAGGCTAATTATTCTTCTTATAGCGTTATTTTTTCACACCACTAAAGTGGTCCCAGCTGGCCATAGTGTTGTACATCTTTAATCCAGCACTTAGGAGGCAGAGGCAGAAGCAGGTGGGTCTCTGTGAGTTATAGGCCAAACAGTATTACAAGGTGGGATTACTGAACACACTTTCTCTCCCTCTCCCTTCCTCTCCACCCGCCCTCAAAACAAAAAGAGTTGTTGCTTTTTCAGAACTAAAATTATCCACGTATTGAATCCAGAAACACAAACCAATGTATTTTTAACCTCTTAATATAGGTATTGTACCAAAATGGGAAAAGGGCTGTTAGTCACAGGCCACAGAATTCTCAGTAAGGGCTACCAGGTGGAAGGAGCTCCTAGAAGGGAGGCTTTGCCGGCTGCCCGTGCAGGTACATGACCAGAAGCCCAAATGTCCAGCGGTGTAGTGAGCAGGCCTGACTAACTGCCCTGTGGACGTCTTCACGTAGAGGGGTGCGGACTAAGGGGAAGAAAATACTTGTAGCTGCCACCAAAGGGCTCTGCCTGTTCCCTCAGTCAAGCACCTAATGCCTTGAAAATCACTAATACCTCCTGGGACTTCACTCTTTGCAAACCCTTAGTTCAGAGTCTTTTCTAGTCACTGTTAGGGGCGGGTGAGCTCAGTGCTCTGGCTCTTCCTGTTGCCATTGTTTATCCATGCCAAGTCAGCCTGGTACAGGAGTTCCTCCATTGTGTAAACAACTGATCGCTGATAACCGTACGAGCAGAGAAAAGCCACTGACATCAAAGTTCTTGTCTGTAAAATGGTTACTTTGGTTTCTTCCAGTTGTGGGCTTTTTGTGAGTACAGAACTCTGTATGGGACGTGAGCTTTATTTGAAACGCTGACGCTCACCATAAGTCACTTTTGAATCACCTGATGTCAGCAGGTGATTGAATAGTGTGCCTTGTGCATGTTACACTGACCTAGCCGTGCATACCCATGGGGACATGGCCCCCACTATGAGCTGTCCAGGTACTTGATCATATCAGGAATTTCAGCGCGGTCTGTTCTCCTCCAGGACCATCTTTTTCCACAGTGCACTTTACCTCGGAGTAGATAATAGTGTTTAAGTCAATGTATTTTTGTGCCTTCTTCTAGAACACTCTATGAGTATGTTGTAAGGAAGCGGTGCCGTTTTCAAAGAGCTATCCCATGACACCCCACCCAAGTTTATGGCTGATCGCTATGGGTGTCTTCAAACCTGCCATTGCAGTCGTGTAGTTATTGTAGGAACTGTGTTACTTATTGAAATGCAGGCTTTGTCAGGCCAGAATCATGATCTGTGCTAAGCTTAATGTCCAGGCCCCAGCAGACCCTTGGAAAATGTTAGCTACAGGCACAAATGACTGAATGACAGCCAAATGAAAGGGTAACAAGAGCCAATGGAAGCCATTTGGGTATGTGGTGAAATGTTAAAAGCAATCCTTTGGTACATTCTAGAAACAATGGCTTCTCTTTTCCATCTAAGGATTTTATTTGTGGAAATCATGTCTGTTAATAGCATTAGATGGAGATAGGTTGATCATTCTTTGGCTTTCTCTCCAGAAGTAGCAAATGTCAAACAGACACATACATAGATAATTCTTAAGAGTAATATATACTGGCAATCAGAGCAAATCCAGAGATAAAAGAAGTCTCAAGAGCACATTGGAAATATCGGAGTAGTTTGCACTTGATTCTTCTGGCAGTCTGGGGATACTCTTCTGAGTGTGGATTCTATACATTTACTACTTCAGGTGCAGAAAATTTGTCTTCTGAGAAATGAAGTTACATGCACCTGAATTTCGGAAGAAAAAAAATGCACTTTTTTTGTTTTAAAAAGCCGATTAAATCGATCCATTCTCTGTAGTAAGATCTGATTTAAATGATTTGATTAAAATAACACCCTCTTCAGTCATAGCTGCTTTCCAGGTAGCAGGTTGATTTCCTTGTGCCCTGGATGGCCTTCGTCTCTTAAGTTCGTTCCAGCCCCTCCTGTGACAGTGATGTCCCTGCTACTTTGGTGTCTCAGAAAGGTTAAGAATTCTGTGCCGCCCTTCCAGCCACTCACTGTAGCTGCAGAGCGGCACTTGAGACCACAAGGACTGCTGTGTGACAGGCACCGCGGCTTTCCAAAGCAAGAGTGCCCTTCAAATGCTTGCTGGAGAGTTACTCCCCTTGATACTGGTCTACGTATCCAGGGCTGCTCCATTTTCAATATCTCTTTGTTTTAGTCTTAATTCCCAAGGGAAATGAAAACAGAGAAAACAAAGCACTTGGGTTTTTATACGGAGCTACTGGTCTTGTTAAATTTTCTAAATTAGAGACTACGTCTGGAGTCGTGGTAGTTTGAGGCCATGCTTGCAGGATTGCTGCACAGCTGGTCCAGGGCTGAAAGCTAACACATCTTTCTTCAGTTTGAGCATAGGATTTCCTGAGCTCTGATGCTCATCAGTGCCCATGTGGATCATCCAGAGGTTCAAAATGCTAGTTTTGGCATGCTAGGGTGGCATGCAGGTCTGCCTCCAGTGCCAATGGGCATGGTTTGGGGTGCACAACCCCTCTATGTGTGTGGTGTTGTAGGGAGGTGAGTGAGAGAGGAACTCCAGCATCGTCCCTAGCCTTCTGAGGAAGCTATCGTTTCCTGGATGGATGCTTGCCGTGCCTGCCTGTTGGTGGGGATTGGAGAGAGAAAGGCTGCCCAGTACAGGGGACAGTAGGAGCCAGATTTGCTTACATTCTCCCTGCCTCTCACCCCATCCTCAGGCGAATTGACCCATTCATTGTATTAGCAGTGGGACTATGAACAGATGCTGCCTCCATGTATCCTGAGGATCACATTTCACACAGTTTAGCCTCCTGCTGACTCCCTGGAGTCAGGGAAGGAGAATGGTTTTGAATTGGGGGAAGAGGAGACAGTAAGTTTTGAATGAAGGAGCATGCATAGAACTGTTTTAGACTCCAAGGCAATCTTTCTTAGTTCAAAAATAGTAGTTATGCATCACCCATAATAACCAACCAACTTTCTCTTACATAAATCTCTGGATTGTAAAAGTGCTACTGTCTAAGAAGAAAAAGCAGACTCTCTGCCAGCACAAACTTTCCAAGATAAACAATCCCTCTTTCTAGACATTATAAACCCAGGCAAGTATTGATAATTGGAAGAGAAAATAGAAAGAGGAACAGTTTGTGGTAGTTCTCAGTG